CCCCCTTTGTGTGTGACCTACTCGGGAGCCGGCCCTTCCCGGCCCCCGGGCTCCCGGTTCTTCGCTCCGGGAGCGCCGTAGAGCCGGGCTCCCCGCGGCGCCTAGCGCCGTCTCCTCTCCTTGCGCGCCCCAAACTCCCCCAGGCTCCTCGTTACCGCATCCTTTCTCTTCCTGCCTTTCGCTCTTCTCGCCCACCGTTTCTCCCTTCGGGCCTCTGGCTTCTCCTTTTCTCCCGGCCTTCGCTTTTTCCAGCAGTTCTCAGTTTTTCTCCTTGCGCTGTACAGCACTTTTTAAAACTTGGTCCTTCACGGAGCTTAGAATCTGCTATTTTTTTACCTTTGCTAGGCCTCTGCTTGTCCTTCTTTCTGGCTGGAAGCTATTCTGTCTTGATCTCTGCTTCGTCCGTGGGTTTCTGCCACTCCCCAAAAGTTTTAGCCCTGCAGTCTCTTGCCTCCTTTTATTTTCTCTCTGTGCCTTTAATGTTTTGTTTCTTTTGTCTCTGTGCATGCTCTCCAGTTTCTTTTAAGCATTTATTTCTAGCTCAGTGATCTCTTAGCTTTTCATTGTTCTGTCTTTCATGAAGGCTGCTTCTTCCCAACTTTTTCTAATTCTGTGTCTCTTGCTGGCCTTTGCATGCCTTTGTGTCTGGATTAGATTTATCCCAAAAGATGAGGTGGTTGAGGTTTTTCAGGTTACAGAGATTTTTCCCGTTTTGGGAGAGGGCAGTGTCTAACCAGTGCATCTCTAGATCAAGCAGCTTTGAACAGTGTTATGGTAACTGAGACAAATGCACATGAAAGTAACTTGGAGCTGGTTACCTCCTAAACTTTCAAACCTCTGAATACTGAGCTCTTTAAGACTAAAAATGGTTAAGAGAGTGGTGGAACCTGGAGACCCACTCCTGTTTAGTTGAAAGTAATATGAGAAGGTGAATTAGATTTTCACGAACTAGCATTTGTTTTTCTAAGTTATTTTATCTTGCTGTAGAGGCTTTAAGGATACTGTAACTTATAATGTTACATTGATTCTTAGTGCATGACAGATTAACAGTGTTTTGTAATGACTAATCCTAAAAAAAAAAAAAATCCTCCTTAAGGAATTATTTCCTTGTGTGAAAGCTTTGTACAGGCTGTATAATTTTCTCAGTATAATTGCCTAGGTGAGGAGTGCACAACTTGAAGTTCAGCATATGATACAACTCTCTATTGCTTTGTATATCTAAAAAGCAAGGCATTGTTATTCTCTGACAAGTACCTGTCAGTCAATTTAAAAGATGACCCATCATAATGAAATTTGTGTATTGGCAGTAATCTTAGGGGTTTTTTTAACTCTCTGTTACTTTTGGTTATTGCTTATGTTTTTTTCAGGCCCAGGGGCAATTAAAATTCACTTGTTCAGCTTTTCAATACCATCTAAGCTTCACATGCTGTTAAATCATAGATTATTTCAATGTTTTAATAAAATTCTATCTGGTTTTGTAGTATTTTATAATGTTACTTTAAGTAATGTCACAACATTTTCATTTAGCATGGTTTAATAATATTTTGAATTGATATTTAAGTTGAAAAGGACAGAATTGGCAAATAAATAGAATTAAACTGAAGTTGCTATTAGAGGATTCTAACTGAACTTGTTTTGCTTCCCCCCTCTCCCCCCACTTTCCTATATACAGAGACCTAAAGGACAGGGAAATAAAGGTAAGTTAATACCTCATATTTCTGTATAATTCTGTAATACTGCTTTTATGAAGGATAATATCTGACTGTCATAGCAAGAAGTTGTAGCTATAGGATGTCTTTTATTTTAGAGCAGGATGACAGCAAATGGTGTGCCAAAATGTTACCTCCCAGCACTTTTACTATGGCATAGCAGTACATCAGTTTACAATGTGTTATTTTGCAAAAGGTTAATGTCAGAAGTCAGACAGTGAAATAGTTATTTCTTTTTAGCTGCCTTTGTGATATGCTTGTATAATCTCCCCCTAACAGTACACCTTGGGCATTTCTGTGTAGTGAGTAGAATCATCAGTAAGAATCTTCTGAACAGCTTCCTTAGTTTGCTAGACAACAGCCATGTGACTAGTTACTCATATCTGTAAGCAGAAAACATCACCTTCCTTATTCTCAGAATTTTTGTAGTCTTGCTTCATTTTAGCACCAGTTACTGATCTTTTGTTAGTGTTTGTAGGCCTTCTGCTTTTTTAATGTTTCTGTCAAGGTCTTAGTTTTTAAATACCATACTCAGTGGGATTTCTTTCCCACAGAAGGAAGGAACTACTAACTACTTGATATTCTTCTCTCTAAAATTCTTGGCAAGTCAGTTGTAAACAGCATTTCAGATTATATCTTGCAGTATTCTGACTGGAATTTGTTTTCTCACTAATATTCTATTTGGAATTTCTTTCTGCCTTAACAGTGCACTTGTGGCCATTTAATTCTCAGCTGCTCAGCAAACTGAGCTATAGAATAGCATGCACACAGCTACCTCTCTGTGTTAATATGCTTATTATACTTATGCAGATAAGAAACTTTTTTTTGTTTGCGCTCAGGTACTCTTTGCCCCTCTTAGTTCATTATCTGAACTAATCTAATTGTTCTCTCTGAGCTGTCATTTAATGTTATCCACAGCATGCTTATTCTATTATTCTGTCTGTGTGCAGATTATCTGCTTCTTGTTACATATATTGCTTGTGAGGTTCCCAGATTTCAACGAATTTGGCCTGTTCTTTTTATTTTCTCTGTATTCAGAGAAAAAAAGAATGTGTTTAACTCCTCAGACATTCCTAGTTTGGTCATTCTTGAATACTTGTTCTCTCATATTCTAATACTTCTACTTTTTTTTTTGCCCACAGTGCACTTACTAACTACTCTGTGTTTTTGAAATAGTTTGTGGTTACAACTTTCATGTTACCCTTAAATGAGAAAAAAAGTCAGACTTGTTATATCAAATAATTTTTGTCTTCACAATCTTTAAATTATCATTTCTCAGTTTAAGTGAGGTTAATTAGATGGATCTGTTAGAGACTCACACAGGTAGTTTTTGAGCTATACTCTATATATGTGAATTAGACTGGAAGTATTAAGCATTTCTATTTGGGTGCTATGTTGCAGTGTGTAAAAATGCACTAGTCAGCTTTACTTTGGCTTATTTATGTTAGCATATTTTTGTGTTCTATAATTTGTCACTGCTGTGGAATGTTTGAATCAAAACACATCTCTGTTTGCTATGTAAGGAAGAGATTTTTGCATTTCTGAACTTGGATTTTTTTATGGAATGCATCCTTTTAAATAATGAATACTTATGATGTATTCTCTTGGTGAGAGTATGACCTAAATTAAAAGTATAGTGAAACAGAACAATTAATCTCTGTTCTCTTAAATTATTTGGCATAATGTCTGTTTAGTAAAAGTAAGTTATGAGTTAGCATTAGATTAAAGGTCTAGGAGGTTGTGCTACCATCTTCAGTGCAGCACAAGTTGTTGGCTTTGGGCTAGAGGCTTTTTCAAGTGGCTGAATTAAGTCAGTGTCAGCAGTCCTTACCACATGTTAGCTGACAGTAGTCTTTCAATTGTCGTGATAGGTGTCAGCTTAGAGGAGCTCTGAGGGAAGATGTGATACTGAGTTAACAGACCAATCTGAAGTTGGTTCTGTGCATAAGAGTAGTAATGTTAAGGAGGATGGTAGAAGCTGCCCACATGTCTGATAGAGAGCATATGAGAATGAGTGAGGAATAAAAGGAGTGTATACATATTTCATATTGAAATGAAAAATACCAGACCTGCAAATAATATTGGTAGGTAGCTGATTTTTATTGTCTAGTAAAATGCCTTGGATGCTTCATTCTAATTGATTATAAACTGGTGTACTGTGCTATTTCCTTTGACCATAATTTGTGGGACTGAAGTTACAGTTTGTAGAGCAGTGTTGTCTCTGTTATGTCAGATATTCATGTTGGTGTTTCAGAGACTTGAATGAGTAAATCATCCTGTCATGAAAGTTTTCTTACTCTAGTTGTCAACTACTGTACTGAACAGTTGACATAAAACATCAGAGCTGACATCCATCAAATTATGACTTACAGGGGCATGGAGAAAAAAGGCTTTCCTGGAACTTTCTCCCCCCTCTTTTGTTTTTTGTGCCATTGTATCAAATCTGTCATAGGAAGGCGCTGACTTGTTTTTACACTTAGGTGTATAACAATTTTTAGTTTTGTAGGAGGCTTAAATGTAGTTATTAGGTTTAAAACAAGAATGAAATGTTTCATGTTTCTTTTCGTGTTTATTCTTCACATTAATGTATGATGACTTTTAATGAAAAAGTTATTCTTGTGCCTTTGCCCATCATTTTTTATAAGTGGCTATTCCAAGGATAGTAGCAGTTAAAAGAATATTAGCTTTAAATTCCTCTATTGGATGAGTTGCTTCTTTCCAATATCTAATTATGCTGTACGTTTTCACAGTGTTTGCAGAAACATATGGTATTTATAGCATTGTATTGATACAGATATTTTTAGTATCTGTAGATTAGTTTCAATTAGTATTCTTCATCACTGCCCTGTTCAGTTGGAGCACTTAACATGAGATTTTGGGAATGAGGCATTCATTTGCTCTTGTTAAATGTCTGTGTGGGCTACATTCTTCACTATTAACATGTTATGTAAAGTTAGAATGAAAAGCTAAAGGGACGTGCTTCCAATGATGCTGTTTCACTGGGAAATGTATTTATTTCACTAGGAAAAAGATCAGTGTTAGAAATATTTTGTGTAAGAAAAATATTCTTGTCAATGTATTTTCTATGTTAGTTGTAATGTCATACCAAAAATAATTCAGTGTTCAGTGACCTTTAGATACCTGTGGAACAGTAAACACAGCAGATGTGTTTTTCCTTATGACAGAATTGTATTTGAGAGTTGTGTTCTCTGTACTATTTGGTTGAGTCTAAGCAGTGGACATGACATAGACAAAATGTTTTGAGGCTTATCCTGTGTGTACCAATTCTAAAGAGGAATACCAGTTCATTAGTATGTTACCACTGTGAGTAAATTCAGGAAGATACATGACCTTAACTGAAAGCATTTATTGGAGAAAAGACCCCCTGACACCTAATATTTAATTTAAATGTGGTGTTTAATTAGGAATATTGTTCTATCCAGTTCTAAGCTACTTTGTGCTAGCATTGCTGGTCATATTTGACAATTGCTAGTATTGAAATGCAGTGTGGCAGTTTGCAATAACTGAAGTGTCTGGTGTTCTTCTAAAACTTCAAGAAGGTATTCAAAACACAGGTTGCTTCCTTCCCAGATAATTGCTTTGAAAAAAAAAACCTTCTATGTTAAATTATGAATTTTTACGTCTGTTTATTACTGTCTGAAGTTAATAAAATTTTCCAGGATTTTGATTATTCCTTATGATTATATCTATTACTTTTTCATTTCTTTCAACTAGTTTAATTCACTGAAGGCAGTTTTGTTTTAGGGGTGTTGAAGTCAAATGTGAAAAAAAAATTCAAGCACCTCTTACTTGGCTTACAATGTGAATTCTGGGCGCCAACCCCCCTACCCCCAATGAAGCAAGAAAAAAACCCTGCAAAGTTGAATATTTAGTTACATGGTTGTATATGCTTTTCAGAAGCTTTTTTGAAAGAGGGAAGATTTAAAGTTGGCTCCTAACTCAATTTTTTAAGTTTCAGAAAATCTGATGTTTTATTGTTGCTTGTGCTGTTGTGGTTTTTCAGTGCATCTTACTGATCGTCCTGAGACTTTCTTTGTTCCCCACACTGAACCTCCTTGACCAAAAGAAAAATAAGTTGCATTTGGATAACCAGTAATTTATTTTTGAGAACAGATCTTCATCTTCAGGTTATGTAATTGAAAGTGCTGGTTTAAGTCCCCGTTCTTCTTTGCACCATGGGAAACAGTGGAACTTAGCAGAAATTTGCGCAGTGTGGCTTTGTTTGAATAGTAGCCTGGGGGATGGTAGAGAGACACTTCAAGTAATTTGGGCAGCTGGAGAATCCCAGGTAGGTGTAATGCCTTAGATGAAATGAAAGGTAATAGAAGACCAAGAAGAGCAGGTAGGAAGAGATTCCAGCGTATAGAGGCATGTGTGCTGGGAAAGGCTTGTAATCACCCTTTGGGACTTAAGCTTTTATTTCTGTCTTGCTTTGTCACCTCAGAGCTTCAGAGATGTCACTAATACAATACAGTTATGTAGAAAATACAGGATTAAATAGCTGAATAGTGGTGTCCTTCATGGTTGTCTTGGTGGGTAACTGCCTTTCCTCCTGGCAGGAGAAAGCTGTATGTTGAAACTTTCCGTCAGCCTATTGAATATGTCTATAGATCAGGTTGGTCTGCACATTTGCACTTGGTCTGGTACTTCTGGAAATGCTGGATTTACTGCCTGTGCAAATAAGGTGTGCCTGTAGTTCTTCATCTGTCTGTGCATCTTGGGAAAGAGTCAGGAGTAGTCTGTCCTAGCTGCCATCTTTGCAGACCTCTCCTGAGATTGATCCTCATGATCAGTAGAATGAGCTGTTTTGTTTAAATTTGAATGGTGCTTAACAATAATATGCATTTCCATGTACAGATGATTAAGAAGTGTTAACTAGATTGAAAGTGCAGCATAGATTTTCCAGAGAGTATTCTAATACAGATTTATTTTTAGTTTCAGTACAAAACGGTTCGATTCATCAAAAGGATGCAGTAAATGATGATGATTTTGAGCCATATCTAAGTAGTCAGACAAATCAGGTAAGTGAACATTGGTTACTACCTTAAAAAGTTAACTTTGACATTCAGCTGACTTCCAGACTTAATTTTTGGGTATTTCATAACATTGCTGACTTGCCTGAATATACATAGAAATATAATTTTATATTGTCTTTTGTGTCATCATACGATACCTTAAGCAGATGAAGTCTTCTTAGGAATTCTGGGAAAGCTTCAGTTAAAAAGCCTGCTTTGATGTCTCTTGCTCTTGTGCTTCTGTTCTAGCTTCAGAAAGATGCAGTTACAAGAAACTTGAGCTAAAAAACAAACCCCAAACCCTTACATTTTAAACAGAATCATCATTTTGGATGCAGTCCAAAACAACAGTTTTATTGGCTCTGAGAATATATTAACTGCTTGGACATGATTTCCTTTAAAGGTGGTAGAAGTAGCTCACAGCTGATAGCATAATAGATGGAAGCTTAATATCACTACAGCTTGGTACAACTCTTCTGCCAAGAAACTAATGGCTTGACTTCCAGAGCTATGAATTGCCTCTGTAGTTGAAAGTTAATGAGTTATGTTAAGTTTGTAAATTGGAGTGTTCTTGAAACAGTGCAATTTAGTAAAATACTAAGAATTTTGCTTTCCTTCACTTTTTTTTTTTTCTCCTAATAATGCAACATTAAGGAAGCATCAGCTAGAGGATGATATGTGTAATTTTTATCTACAGAACAACACCAGAAGTCATATGGGGGTAGTCCTTCAAATGTCTCAAGGAGTAAATTGTGTGATTTCCCAGGATCCTATCTGGTGTAGTACTGATTTAATGCCCATTCTCTATAGCATGGATATGTTACTTCTTTTTTCTTGCTACTCCTGAAACAAACAGGCATCCTTGCATGCATTTCACTGTAATATTCTGTGGGAGTGTCCAGTTAGAATTTAGAAATATGACAAAATCTAGAAATACCACAACTTGAAATCATAGTTACAGCTATTTTTCTTTAGTTGCGAAGGTACAGTTATGACTTGTTTTAGAATAGCTTGTTTTTTTTCTTGATACTGTTGGCATGGAGGCATTTCAAACCTAGCTTAGTAGCTAAAAATTAAGATAGTGTTCTAGAAAAAAAAGGGGGCCCTTTAATGCTTTGAGAAGGTGTCTTGAAGAAATGGCTATATCTGACAATTGCCTCACTCATCTTTTATGTTGTGAGGAATGGCGGAAGTTACAAATGCATTCATATAAGCCTTAAAAATGTTTTGGATTGTATTACAGTTTTCTTTTTTCCCCCTGAGCATTGTCAATATTGCTGATTTTTTAAAATTCTATTTTCTTGCAGAGTAACAGCTATCCACCAATGTCAGACCCATATATGCCTAGCTATTATGCTCCATCCATTGGATTTCCATACTCTTTAGGTGAAGCAGCATGGTCAACTGCAGGTGACCCTCCAATGCCATATTTGACAACTTATGGACAGATGAGCAATGGTGAACACCACTACATACCTGATGGTGTCTTTAGTCAACCTGGGGCATTAGGAAATACCCCTCCATTTCTTGGGCAGCATGGATTTAATTTTTTTCCTGGGAATGCAGACTTCTCTACATGGGGTACAAGTGGATCTCAGGGACAATCAACACAAAGCTCTGCTTACAGCAGCAGCTATGGCTATCCACCTAGTTCTCTTGGGAGAGCCATAGCAGATGGACAGGCTGGATTTGGCAGTGACACTCTGAGCAAGGTGCCTGGGATTAGCAGCATTGAGCAAGGCATGACTGGACTGAAAATTGGTGGAGATATGACGGCTGCTGTAACTAAAACAGTAGGTTCAGCTCTGAGCAGTACAGGTATGACAAGCATTGCAGCTAACAGCGTGCCCCCAGTTAGCAGTTCAGCACCTAAACCAACCTCATGGGCTGCAATTGCAAGGAAACCTGCTAAACCTCAGCCGAAACTCAAGCCTAAAGGTAATGTGGGCATTGGGGGCCCTGCTGTACCGCCACCACCTATAAAACACAACATGAATATTGGAACTTGGGATGACAAAGGGTCAGTGGTAAAAGCACCCCCAGCTCAACCAGTACTGCCTCCTCAGACTATAATCCAGCAGCCTCAGCCATTAATTCAACCACCACCACTGGTGCAAAGCCAACTGCCTCAACAGCAGCCTCAGCCACAGCAACCACAACAGCAACAAGGACCTCAGCAGCAGGCCCAGCCTCACCAGTTGCAGCAGCAACAGCTTCAAAACCGCTGGGTAGCTCCACGTAATAGGGGTGTGGGCTTCAGCCAGAACAATGGAGCTGGTAGTGAGAACTTTGGTTTAGGTGTTGTATCCGTCAGCTCCTCACCTTCTGGTGTGGAAGTGCACCCAGTGCTGGAGAAACTAAAGGCCATAAACAACTACAATCCCAAAGACTTCGATTGGAATCTGAAGAATGGACGTGTGTTTATAATCAAAAGTTATTCAGAGGACGATATTCATCGCTCCATTAAGTACTCTATCTGGTGTAGTACTGAGCATGGGAATAAGCGCTTGGATGCTGCTTACCGGTCCCTGAATGGAAAAGGCCCACTCTATTTACTCTTCAGTGTGAATGGCAGTGGACACTTTTGTGGAGTGGCTGAGATGAAGTCTGTTGTGGACTACAATGCATATGCTGGTGTCTGGTCTCAGGATAAGTGGAAGGGGAAGTTTGATGTCAAATGGATCTTTGTCAAAGACGTTCCCAATAACCAACTGCGACATATTCGCTTGGAAAACAATGACAACAAACCGGTTACCAATTCGAGGGACACTCAAGAGGTACCCCTAGAAAAAGCCAAGCAAGTGCTTAAAATAATTGCTACTTTCAAGCATACCACCTCAATCTTTGATGACTTTGCACATTATGAGAAGCGTCAAGAGGAGGAGGAAGCCATGCGTAGGGTAAGAAATCAGTGTTGTTACAGTAGCTCTTTTTTTTTTTCTGTTTTTGGAAACCTTGTTTTTCATTCATCTGGAATTTCTGTCTTCAAGTGGTAAATCAGAAAGTGGTACTTCTTACTTAGAGCATCTACTTGATATAACTGGTTCTTAATGAAAAAAATTTAAGTTCCTGTAACTTTTTTATTAGTTCAGTCATCTGTTTAATCACAATTGTAAGGTAGGCCTGAATAAGCAGACATCTGACATGTTCTACTTCTTCAATGCAAATGAAAACTGAATTGAGTCTGTTATCCATAACTGAAGTCTTCTTGCTTAGATTTTTGCAGTTTCTGGCTATTACAAAAAGGACGAGAAATTAGAGAAGAAGCGTACGTTATTTAACATAACATTTCAGTTGAAATTCTGCTTTAATGAAATGTTAACAGCATGATTAGTGTGAAAAGCAGGTTTTCTCCTTGATTCCATTTATCTTTTGTGAAACTTAAACACAGAAGTGATACAGTGATGGCTTGTAAAGTGTCTAAATCATTTTTTTTGACCGTTCTGATAATGCATTTCCTAAAAAAAGTAATTTATAGTTTGTTTCTGCAAGGAAGAGTAAATGTGATAACTCTGAAAAGAAACTTTTCGTTTTGGAGGCATTTCAGGAAACCAGACAAGGGAAAAGCATTTAAATCAAGCATGGTCTACTTTGTCTTGTGTACCCTCCCTAATCATAACACTTGTGCTCACCATTGGCCACAATATTTACTTTTCCTTTATTTGCTTTTTCTCCAGACTTGACAGTAACTGTAAATGTATGATTTGTCTCATGGTTAGAAACATTTCAGGAGCTATTTTTACCAGTTAGATGATACACAAATATTCAAAAATGGGAGTTGCCATCAGTACGGTTTGTTGCTAATGACCTGTTCATCTTATCACACCACTCACTGAATAAAAACACCCAGAAGTTTAGGGTTTGTGCCAGCTAGGAGCCTTGAGACATGTGAAGCTGAGAATTTGTTCGCTTGAAGCTGACATGTAAAGAAGCTGCAAAGCAGGTGAAATGTTTACTTCTCTTAGGTGTCTAGTCCTGGGTGCTTTCACCTTTGTTGTATGTGTCAGGCGTACCCCAAATCAATTTTGTAGTTCTATTGCAGGACTCTGCAGTAAATTGTTATGTTGAAAGTTTTCTGTTGTAGGGAGGCTAGATCAGTATCCCAGTTGGGTGTGTAATGCCTTTTGGAATTTTTTTCCAGAAAAGAAAATAGATTATGCCCTAAATGAGTATCGTTACTTTCATGGTATCTTGATGATGAAGTGGTGGACTGCTTTCTTAACTAATATTCAGTGTAAGGGACAAACTTTGACTTTTTGAGGATTTGGTACAATTTAATCAAGTGCAGAATCACTGGCCAGTCCCGGGAAGTGATTGTTCCACTCTACCCTGTGCTAGTGGAGCCTTACCTTGAGTCCTGTGTGCAGTTTTCAGTGTCACAATATGAGCACATCCAAAAGGGTCACAAAGATGGTGAAGGGTCTGGAGGGGAAGCCATGTGAGAAGAACCTGTGGGCACTTGGTTTGTTCAGCCTGGAGGAGACTGAGGGGGAGACCTCATTGTGGTCTCACGAGGGGAAGTGGAGAGGCAGGCACTGATTTCCTCACTCTTGTGACCAGTGACAGGTTTCGAGGGAATGGCCTGAAGCTGTATTAGGGAAGATGTAGATCAGATAGAAGTAAAAAGGGTGATTGGGCACTGGAACGGGCTCCCCAGGGAAGTGGTCACAGTTCCAACCCTGACAGAGTTCAAGAAGTGTTAGGCCAATACTTTCAGGTAGATGGTGCAACTCTTGGACTGTCCTGTGCAGAACTAGGAGTTGTACTTTGGTGATCTTCAAGGGCTCTTTCCAGACATTCTGATTCTGTGATTCTTTTTGATTTTGTAATGTTTCAAGAGTACTAAGATTATAATGTATCTCTGTAGCCTTTACGTTTCAGTGTTTTCTAAATTTTCTTAATTTTGAGATATTTCACAAATAACTGGCTTCTTTCAAAAAGATCTCCTTTTTTTTAAAAAAAAAAAACAACTTCACAATCAAGTCATAATTCAGACATGCCCTAGCAACTCAGGAAGATCGTTTTATTTGTGATTTTGTTTCTTCAGTAATAGGTAAAAGCCACAAAATGTAGTGAAGAGGAGCAATGTAGATAAGGGGAAGTGTTTCTATGTGTGCTAGACTTAAAATTCAAAGTACTGAGTTTAGCATTTAGTAGGTCTTGAACTAGGTAACTCTGATGATGGGTATTTGAGTAAAAAAGTAACATTGCTATTTGAATAATATCTTCAGAGAAACATACAGTATTTGTATGAATCATTTCTTTGTAAATAGTTACCTTTCCCAACACTATTGATAGAAAACATACTTGTCAAGACACTTGAAATAGTGGCCATTGGCTCTTTTACAGCATCTTACAAATTGATTTTACAACCAATTATGAAAAATGGCTTTAGAACTGTGTAGGTTAGTCATGAGGTTTTCTCTTTGTAGATGGGCTTGAGGTGTGCCTTAAGCAAATTAAAATAGACTTAAAGTACAGGGAGTTTAAATTAAACTAATGACATCTACTGAGAGTTGATCTTTAGCATTCTCTTATGACTAAATGTTGATTTAAAATCTGTTTTTTCTTTTATCACACAGTGTACAAACAATCTGTCTTTCAATTGTAAACATACAATTGTTAACTCTTATGATTCAAGTTTGTAAATGCACCAATTAGTATTGTAAGCTCTGGTTTATGGTAAATTGAATAACTTTATTACTTAGTGCCAGCTAAGCTTTCATGGAGCTGTATTTAAATATGTGCTCTTTCTACTGCCAGTAGAACTGTGTAAATTAAATTTGTGTTAATTTTCTTTGGCAGCTGTGGCAATCACTTTGTTTCCAGTGTTTTGGTCATGAAAAATATGCTTATAACTGTTAATAAAATATTAAATGCGTCAGGCAGCAGTAGTCCTTCCACATTCCTTGAAATTGTTTGTTTTGTTATGGCATAGGTGGTTACAAACTTTCATACAGCCAGCAATCTAAATATCATAAACAGCAAATGATTTAGGGATTTAATTTACTTTTTACCTGTTCATCATTACAGCTAATTTATCTTACAATAATTGGTTGTAAAAGTTTAATCTTGATAACTCAGGGGGATCAATAATTAATTTCCAATACGGCCTAGCAGTGTGTTTTATTAAAATATGGCAGTATACTTCTGAAAGTGCAAGGAATTGTCTCTGATAAACATAAAACTTCAGTTACTTTGCCATTTGATAAAGATTACTTGAAAATGACAGAGAATAGTCTCTTTAAGCATAAATATTAGAACTGTAGTATCTACCACTGTTTGATGTAACCCTGCTTGTGGGTAAGGTATCTACAGCTGGGCTTGTGCAGTAATCATTCCCTTTCTCTTACAGCTCAGGTTCCAGACTCCTATTTTAAACATACAAATGCTGTGATCTTTTACCAAAGGATCAGAGAAATGAGTGATGCTTTTCATGAGTTCTGTCAGACATACACTGAAATAATCTGGAATTCAGTTTGTCCTTTGTTAACTGCTGCTTTGTGGTGTAAATGTGCTGATTTGTGTGCATGTTATTTAAAAAGGTGTTTTTTTGCTTTTTAAGATGACATAATTAATTTTAGAAAAAAAAAGTATTGATAATAAAGCAAATCATCATTTGTAGTAGCTTAGCATCTGGTCTTCAGTAAGAATACGGGTGAAAATAAAATATGGCTCTGATTAAAGAGGCAGTTGTTGGCAGATTACAGCTTCCTTGCCTTCAGAAGGTGGCTTATTACCTGTTGTCCTAGGACTTTTTGGTGCTTTTTGATGGAGAATTCTACTTTTGTAGCATATAGTGGAGAAAAAGGTCACAGTTTCATGTAATTGTAGAGTGCTTTAGGAGGTTTTTCTTAGTGCCATAGTCCAGAAAAGTAATTGATTTTTATTCATGAGGTAAGGTAGAAGAATTTAGCATATATTTGTGTTTATCTAATTTGCATTTGGATTTTTTTACTTTTCAGGCAGCCTTTAAATGGCAAATAAATAAGCAATTTAAATTTTTTGCTTTCTTCTGTTGTATTATGTATCTTGTAATAGGAATGCTGACATAGCTAGAACTTCTTGATTCTCAAAAGGAGTCATTTTTTTTCCCCTTCATTCAGATACCAATGTAACTTTTGTTTCTCTGATAATTGGGTCATTATCAGGCTGCAGTGTATCTTCTTTCCTTTCTAGGACATTGCTGACATTGTGCTTGATTTGATATTTCTTAAAAATATCTTGAAGAAAACATCTATTAAAAGTGAACTGTAGCTGCTTCTTCCCCTTCTTAATCCCCAACCCTGAATTACTATATTATAATGTCAAAATCAGATACAGATCCATTTAGTTAAGGAAAACAGGTGATTGGCAAACATTTTTAATGCACTTAAATGATACTTGTACTGAACTTTTAAAAGTTTGTATATTTACATCTGAAAGACATTTATGTAATAAGCATGAAACTATCTAAGAGTGTTACGTAATTAATATCTTCTGAGAAACATGTTCATTTCCTGTATGCTTTTGATGAAGTTTCAAGGGACATTATTTTGCAATTTCCTTGAACTTCATATTTATCAAGAGTGTCATCTTCATAATTGGAAGTGAGAAAGTAGAAACAGGAAACACTTTTTTTTCCCTCCCTTGATCGTTGTGAGATGATTATGGGTCATGGGAGAAGATTATTTGGAGCTAGGATAATTTTAAACATTCTGCTCTAGAATTTCCTTTCCATGATGGTGTGCTTATTTGCAGTGTCTTCATTTGCTTTTGCATCTTTAGTCTTTTGGAAAAACTTTAAAATTACCTTCATGAAGACACAGGGATTTCAAATGTGCCTGTTTTCTGTGCATTTGGTAGAGTCAGTTGTTTCTGTTGCAAGGTATAGTTTAGAATTCATTTGAGGATGGGGATA